CTGGGACAGACCCTGCCCCTCCAGTGCCTGCTGCCGTCTCGGGGATGAACACAGGAGCGGAGCCTCCCTCCCAGGCGGGGGTGCTGTCCCTGCTCCAGCTGTGTCCCCTCCGGAGCCGTGGCGTCGTGATCTTGCTCCCCGGGCAGGGGAGATGCGTGTGTGGGGCATGGTCGGCCCCAGACGCTGTGCTTGGCAGCTCTGAGTCTGCGGGTTGGAAAGATGAGACACCAAGTGTCCGGTGTGAAAACCACCAGGCCGCAGCCTCTGTACAGACTCTGCGCCAGGGCGCCGTCTTCGGCGTAGTCTGTGTGTGGCTTCTAGGATTTGTAAAAATCATAGGTTTGGCACTATTTTTGTGGTACTGGGCACTGAACCCAGGGCCTCCAAACTGAGCTACATCCTTGGCCCTTTTTAAATTTTTTATTTTGAGGCAGGGTCTCGCCAAGGCATTAAGTTGCCCAGGCTGGGCTTGAACTTGCAATCTTCCTGCCTCAGCCTCCAGAGTGTTGGGATTACAGGCTTGCGCCACTACACATTCAGCCTTCACCTAGTTTTGTTCTGTCTTTTGCCTCAGTGGCAACTCCACCAGGCCAGAGAGACCAGTGGGGTAGGGTGGGGACGAGGGTGGGCAAGGGGGCACTGCATGCAGGGGGGGACAGGCTCTGCAGTGCCTGGCCAGGTTAGCTTGGCCTTGTGCAGCCAGGTGGCAGAAGGGCAGGGCCATGGGACAGCACAGCCTCTCTTGGCCCCTGACCACTTCCTGCTCTGGCCTGCAGGTCACTTCTGACTTCCGGAGCCCACCTGGTTCAGCTTGCAGGGAGCGGCTGGTACTCAGCAGGCAATCACACTGCCCACGGCCCACTGCTGGCCAGTAGCTGGGGAGGCAGAAGCCAGGACTGTGGCGCTGGCCAGACCTGGCCTCGGGCCCAGGAAGGGTCCCGGCCCTGCCGTGGCGCTGCAGGTCCCTGCCACCCTCCTGCCCAAAGTCGGACCTCTCAGTGCATGCACATGTGTGAGACCCACACCTGGACTCCTGCTCTCGCACACTGCACAGGCGCCTTGCAGGCTGGCCGAGAGCCCATGCATGCTCTGCACACACGTGTGAACACACACGTGCCCACACACGTTAGTTCCCTTCCACCCACTCTGCCCATCCTCCCCTGCTCTCCAGACAGGCTTCTCCCCAACGACCTTCATAGTGGATGTGGTGACCGACGCGTTGCCAGCTCTCTGGCCCAGCTGGCTGCCAGCCCTGACCTCGTCCTCCTCCTCAGCACCTTCGCCTCTGGCAGCTGTGCCTTTCTGGCCCCAGGGCCTCTCCCTTTGCCGGAAGTGCCGTGCTCCTGCTAGGGTGTCCTGGCTTCTCTGTCCTGCTGTCCCCTGCTCCAAGACCCTTCTTGTAGGAAGGCACACCTGCCCCTCGCCAGCCAGGCCTTGTCCCTCTGCACTGCCATGGATACCTGGCCCCCTCTCCCTCACCCCCCACTGCTCCCAACCTCTGGGTCTCAGGTGAAGTGGAGAAGCTGGGACACCCAGCCCCTCCTTGGCTCCACCACCATGAGGATCAGGGTGGCAGCAGGACTACCCTCCCGGGTCCCCTCGCTGCCACGGCTCCTGCCCTCACCTCCTTGATGCCCCAAGCAGCCCCCTGCTGGCTGGCTGGGACCCTTTGCCCCCCAGAGAGGCTCTCCTGGGGGAGGGGCCCGTGCCTTGGGCCAGGTCCCAGCAGGAGCACGGAGTGCCTGGCCAAAGGTCAAACCATGTCCCCGGACGGGAAGGTCCTCTGGCCACCTGGAGTCATCTGGTCCCCCACCCTGGCCCCAGCTGCCCTCTGCACCCCCAAGTGGAGCCTGCCCCTCGTGCTGTCCACACCACCCGGAAAGTGCTCTCTGGGGCACAGGTGTGAGCAGCGGTGTCCACTCCTGCCCGACCACGGCCAGCGCATGGGGCAGGCTCCAACCCTGTGTCTGTTTTGTGTGGCTGTAACACGGCTGGGGCTGGAGTTCAGAGGGAGCAGGATTTGCTTCTTACAGGTCAGGAGCAAGGGATGAGGGAGATGGAAGGGAAGGGGCGAGACTTGTCCTTCCCTCTGCCAGGGCAGAGCAGTCCCCGGCTGTCACCTCTCACTGCCGAAAGGTCCCCCAACACCACTGTCTCGGGGTTCAGTCTTCGGCACACAGACCCCGGGACGTTCCAGCCAAAGCAGTGACCGTGGTGGTCGTGGTCAGGGTCTCGTGGACTGTGGTGTTGGCATCGTGGCAGCTGCTGCCATGGCTGCGGAGAGCCACGCACAGGCAGTGCGGCTGGGGCAGAAGCCTGGCCTTGCCTCCGTCATTGCTTCCCCTGAACTTCGGGCTCCAGGCTGGACAGCATCCCACCCTCGGCCTCCAAGGCCAGCCCAGGCTCCTCCTGGCGCACCACCACCGGGCCGGGCTGACAGCGGCACCTGTCCCCTCCGGCTTCTCCTGCCCCGTCCAAGATGGGGTGGACAGGGTGCCACCTCCGGGATGTCCCGAGGGTATTGTCCTTCCCTTCCCCATCCCACTCAGAGGGGAGCGGATGGAGCTGGGAAACCGAGGCCTCAGGAGGGGAGAGGACGCCTCGAAGGCCGAGGCCCAGTGCCCTCGCACCCCGCCTCGGTGCTGGGAATTGGGAGGAACCACAGATCGGCCTGCACCTCGGCAGGCTGTGCGGCTCAGAGGTGCCCGGAGCACACACAGCAGGCCAGCCCAGCGAGACCGCGGCCACCGAGGAGCCAGGCAGTGTGGGTGTGCACAGGCGCGGGCGGGCGCAGGTGTGAGTGTGCACAGGCGTGGGCGTGCGCAGGTGTGCCCGGCACCCACACAGGAGGCTGTGCGGGCCCGGGTGTTGCTCTCCCTGCAGGCCTGGCTGGGGTGCGCAGGGCTTACCTGAGGGGCTGGACCGACCGCCGGCGTCAGAACCCGGGCCCTCGTTTGGTGAATGCCACTGTGCCCACCAGCGGGTGAGGTCCTTGTGTCTGTGACAGCAGAACTGAAAAGGTGAGGCCCTGAATGAATTTACAGGAAAAAGCTGTGACTGGGAAGGAGAGGAGTGCCCAGCTCTGCGGAGGATCAAGCTGCCCCGCCGAGGAAAAGGGCGGGAAAGGCGTGGAGGCCGCGGCGTGCGCACAGTGCTCAGACTGGCCTGGAGCGAACCAACAAGCCGTTCCCGGGCGGGGCCGGGCGGCCTCCGTTTCCCAGGAGGTGGCTGTCCTGCTGACACCCTGCAAATCTCCTACCCAGTACTTAGTCATAAAGGGGTGAAACAGGCTGGGCAAGGGAGGGCTAAGGAACCTCGTTCTGCCAACTACCATTAGTACTTAAAATTTTTTTTAATGAGGCAGACTCTAGCTTTGTAATTCAGGCTGGCTTGGAACTCACTACATGGCAATCGTCCTGCCTCAGCCTCCCGAGGGGGGGGATTACAGGCATGCACCCGGCCCCCAGCTCTACTCATTAGTACGTGTGCACAGTACACAATGATTACACTCATGAGGAGTTGGTACATGTGGAGAACGTATCTCAATTCTTCTCTCGTTCCCTCTCCTCACCTTGCTCTCTCCAATTTTTTCCCCAGTGCTGGGGATTGAACCCAGGGCCTCTGCACTGAGTGCCACCCCCTATCTTTTAATTTTTTAATTTGGAGACAAAGAGTCTTGCTAAATTTCCCAGGCTAGGATCGAATTTGCAAACCTCCTGCCTCAGCCTCCCCAGCACTGGGACTACAGGAACGCGGTGCCAGGACTGGCTGTCAAGGTTTCGACATTGTCTAAATGACTACGGCAGCCCTATCCAGTGGGGAGGGACTATCCCGGGGGTGTAAAGCAAAGGTCACCTTGTTGTTTCATCTTATCAAGCTTCTGTAGGCTCAAGAGGACAGGTTTTAGGAAAAGCTGATTTTACAGGGAAGCCCACCTGTAATTCCAGCACTCCAGAGGCTGAGGGAGGAGGATCGCTGCCAGTTTAAGGCCAGCATGGGCTAAACAAACAAAACAAACCAAACCAAACACCACTTTTAAGTCCCTGGGAAGAAAGCGCAAACCATGTTTTAATGAGTAGCTGTCCTCTGTCCCTTGGGTCTCTGGTCCCCGCGGAGCACGGTGGGGCTCTGTGCCACCCTGAGCCAGGATCTCCCAGCAGGCAAGGGCGTGGGGGGCCGAAACTACCCCTACTGTTGGTGGCTGTGGAGATTAGGAGAGATGAGCTGTTTGTTTTATTATTATTGGGGCTTTTGGGAACAGTCTCATTTTTCTGAGACGGGGTCTCGCTGTGTGGTTCAGGTTGGCCTTGAACTTGCGGTGATTCTCCTGCCTCAGCCTCCTGAGCGCTGGGATCTCAGGCTGACAGACATGGGCCTGAAGGTGTTCACACAGGGAGTGCGCGGTGCCTCTCCCCACCTGAGCCGCCTGTCCCTCGCGCTGTGGAGTCCTCGGAGCTGGGGCTCCCCTGGGCCTGGGTCACAGCTGCCCCTTCCCCGTCGCGCGCAGCTTCCCAAGGTCTTCGAGTCACGTCTACCCCGGGCCGTAGCTCTTGGGGCCACGAGGAAAGCCACGCACGGCGGACGGCAGGTCGTTTACACGCGCAAACGGACTCAGGCGGGACCGCAGCACCAGGAGCGTAGAGCCCAGATCTTCGCCGGGCCCAGCAGGGCCAGACCGGGGCGCGCGGAGCGCGCGACCGAGAGCTAGGCTTCCGGGAGCCCCGCCACCGAGACCACGCCCACAGCCCGGCCCCGCCACTCCACGCTCCGCCCGCGCAACCTCAAGTTTCTTCGAAGTTTTCCGCGGGTCCTGCGGGGGCCCCGCCCACCCACTCGTGACGTAACAATAGTGCACCGCGGCGACCAATGGGGAGCGGCAGGGGCCGGCGGCGCGGACCAATGGCGGAGGCGGACGGTCCCGCGGTCCTGCCCGGCCCCGACCGCACTGCGCCGCCCGCTGCCCGCCGCCGGCCGCCCGCCGGCTGCCCGCCGCCCAGCGACTCTGTCGCGGCGGCTCAGATCGCGGCTGCGGCGGGCGCGGGCGGCGCAGCTCCCTCCTGGCTGCCGTGGGACCTCACCTGCTCGCCCGCGGAGGACAGGGACGCCGGCCCGCAGCCCGGTCGGCCCCGCGGTGAGTCTCCCAGCCTGCGCCCGGCCCTCAGGTGCAGCCCGGGCCCCGCCGCCTGGGCACTGGCGCGGCCCCTCCCCGCGGCCGTGGCTGCCCGGTGACGCGGGGCAGCCGGACTTACGTAACCCGCGCCCCTCCCGGGTCCCGCACTGGCACCCGCGCCCGGACGGCGTGGGTGGCCGGGGGCGCGGCCGAGGCACCTCCGCCCCGCCCGCCCGCCGCTCGGGGGCCGACCCGGCCCCGGCCCCCGGCCGCGGGGGAGGCAGCGCCGGGCCGGGCTTGCGGGGAGCCCGGGCGGACTCGGGGCCGGCGCCTGACCTGGCACTGACCTTGGACGGACGGGCTTGGCCGTGCGCGAGGACGAGGGCGGTGCCTCGGCGGGCCCAGCTCACCTCCTGCCCGTCTTGCAGATGAGGACGCGGGGGCTCGGCGAGAGACTGTGAGCGCCCATCCCCGACCAGACCGCACCGCACCGCCGCAGGCAGCAGGTGGGAAGCAGCGTGTGCCCCCCGGCCCGGGAGAGTTCTGCGCCTCACTGGGGGTGGCGCTCGGGCGTGGGTTTGGTGGCAAGGTGGGCCCAGGCCTTTCTGCCCCTTCCTGGCACCTCTTCAGCTAGGGTGCGCCGAACTGTCCGGTTCGGAGACTGGAGGGCGCAGCCTAGGCAGAGCCGAGTGGGGCTTCTCTAGCAGGGGCGCTAGAGAGCAAGGCCGTCGGGGAGGGAGATCAGGTACGGCTCGATCAAGGGTGCTGGAACCGGAAGGCGGGTGCAAGGGTGCCCGGCAGCGCCCTCCCCACGCTGCGCCGCTCACGCCCCCTTCGCCCGCAGGTCGGTCGCTCCGAGGCGGATCCATGCCGTGACCGCGACACCCGGCCCCCAACCAGCCAGCATGCCGTGGGACGCGCTGCCCGGGAGCGGCGCTGACGGGGGCCCCGAGGGCGCGGGCGCGGCACGCTCGAGGGCGCAGAAGCAGTGCCGAAAGTCGTCGTTCGCCTTCTACCAGGCCGTCCGCGACCTGCTGCCCGTCTGGCTGCTCGAGGACATGCGCGCCAGCGAGGCCTTCCACTGGGACGAGCGTGGGCGCGCGGCCGCCTTCTCGCCGTCGGAGGCGCTGCTCTACGCCCTCGTGCACGACCACCAGGCCTACGCCCACCACCTGCTGGCCACCTTCCCGCGCCGCGCGCTCGCGCCGCCCAGCGCCGGCTTCCGCTGCTGCGCCATGCCCGGGCCGCACGTGGCGCTGGCCGTCCGCTACAACCGCGTGGGCATCCTGCGTCGCATCCTGCGCACCGTGCGAGACTTCCCGGCCGACGAGCGTGTGCGACTGCTAGACCGGCGCGGCTGTGGCCGCGTAGAGGGCGGTGGGACATCTCTGCACGTTGCCTGCGAGCTGGCGCGGCCCGAGTGCCTCTTCCTGCTGCTGGGCCACGGCGCCTCGCCGGGCCTGCGCGACGGCGGTGGTCTTACGCCGCTCGAGGTCCTGCTGCGCCAGCTGGGGCGCGACACGCCGGGTACTGCCGCCGCCGGGGAGCCGTGCCAGCGCCGCCTGCAGCTGCTCGACCTCCTGGTGCTGTACACCCCCGCTGGCGCCGCCGGCCAGGCCCGTCGAGAGCTGCTGGGCGACCGGCCGCGCTGGCAGCGGCTGCTGGGCGAGGACAAGTTCCAGTGGCTGGCGGGGCTGGCGCCGCCCTCGCTTTTTGTGCGCGCCATGCAGGTGCTGGTCACCGCTATCTCGCCCTGCCGCTTCCCCGAGGCCCTGGACGAGCTGCCTCTGCCGCCCTTCCTGCAGCCCCTGGACCTCACAGGCAAGGGCTAAGCCTCCATGGCCCGGGGCGGAGCTGGCTTCCAGAACGCTGTACCTGGCACTTTACATATATTGTCTCCGCAGAGGAGTCTGCCTCGTGTGTGTCGCGCGCTGCCCTCCCGCCCCGGCCCACAGGCACGGTTTCCTGGCCGCGCCTGCCAGGCCTGGGAAGGGCTGGGGAGGCTCAGCTGGGGACAAGGTGCAGAGCCCCGGAGGCCGTGGGGGGAGGTGGGCCCCAGGCTGGGTTCCCTGTACCCCAGGCCATGCTGCCCCCTTACGCCACACTTGGCCCTCCGGGGACTGGATTTGTCCCCGAGGCCCCCTTTTCTCCCCACCCACAGCCAGTTGGCAATGGGGGCTCCCTTTTCATTTGTCACTGCCCCTGCCGCAGTGCAGGTCCGGGCCCGTGAGCCCCACGCTGGAGTCGAGGGCCGCCTCGGTGGGCATTCGGTGGTCCATCCCCTGGAGAGCAGCTTCTGCAGGTGAAGATGCAGACCTGTGTCCCATCTCTGAGGACAGAGGGGCCCTGGCTGAGGATCCTCAGGCCAGGGAGCATGGCCAGGCTGCCCCACCTGGATTCCAGGGGTGTGTGTGAAATTCTACCTGCACTGGCCGGTGTGGGGCCGATGTCCTGCCAGGAGGGCAGGGCTGGCAGTGAGTGCATCTGCCCCAAGGGGGGGTGGACTCTGCAAAGGATGTGACCCCGCTGTGGGGCAGAATGTGGGGTGCTCAGACCCCCACACTGGTCCTAGCTCCAGGGTGGAGGGGCCTGCTGCGTCTCAGCCTTGGAACTTAGTGCAGAGGATACCAACAAGCTGGCGCCATCAGCCCCTCGTTGTCTTATGGGTGCTCCTGGTCTTCAGGCAGGGAGGGGACAGTAGCTCCTGGGGGCTGGGCCTGGGGAGGTCAAAGCCCAGTGGCTTTGCCTGGAAAGGTGGGTGCCTGTTGGGGTGCTGGCTCCCCCGATGCGAGCAGCTGCTTTTGTAGTGACAGCTTTGTGAGCCTCCTGGAATGCTGTGCAGGAAGTGGCAGTGCGGGTACCATGGGAAGGACACAGGAGTGGCCTGTGAGGTGGCCCCAGAGGGCGGTTAGGCTCGGGGTGGTAAGGAAGTGGCTGGGCAATAGCCAAGGGGACCACCTGAACATTGCTGAGTGACTTGGGGGCTCCCGGCTGGGCGGGCAGAGGCCAGGCCAGCATCCCCAGCGGGGCTGATGGCTGCGTGGCATGGGACGCCCGGCCCACAGTGGCCTCTGTGGGCGCAGGACCTGGAGGAGGTCCCAGCAGATAAGCAGGACCCTGGGTTATCTGGCGGTGGCGCCTGTGCAGGGGTGGGCGGTGGCTAATCGGTCAGGTCCTGTGACTCCAGGAAGGGCTGTGAGGACGCAGTGGCCCCCAGGCACTGAGTGAGCCTGACTGAGCCTTCAGGACACGGGGCAGACCCAGAAGAGCCAGCCGGGCCCTGCCCAGCCCTGCGTCCTGGCAGACAGCAGCTGGGCGGTGACCTTATCTTCGCAGGCAGAGGCCCCGCCCAGGACAGGCCGTGATTTCCCTGGGGAAGCACACTGGCTCTGTGTTCAGTGCAGAATGTTACCCACCTCTGTCCCAGATCCTCATGCCTCCTGCTCCCCAGGCCTCGAACCCCAGCCCACTAAGACTCAGGACCCGGGACCTTGGCCCAGTTCCTGGCTAGGAGGAGTGGAGGTTCCGCATGCCAACATGGTGCTGAGCCCAGCTCCCACTTGAGTATCTCCTGCCCTGCCCAGGGCTTTTCCTCCATCCCCTGCTGCAGGTAGGAGAGCTTTCCTCTGCAGACAGGTGGCCCCTGAGGCCTGGAAGGGGCCGCCCTGGGCAGTGACTGCCTTCACCCTGACCCCAACTTACTTGTGGGAAGCACAGGCCTGGAGTGTGGCCTTGGATGAGCTAGGACAAGGTGGGCACTGTAGCGGGAGCCAATACAACTCTGGTTGGCTGGGGGAAACAAACTGCTAGGTACTCTGGTTGTGTATGAACACACTCGGTTCTTGCCAGGCCTCTTACAGACCTCCAGCCAAGCTTAGGACTTGTCACCCTTCTGTAGGAGAAGTATTTTCTCATGTTTGAAAGCCCTGGGGAGTTAGCTCAGTGGTTCCACCACCTTCCTCACAAGCGTAAGGTCCTCAGTTTGATCCCCAGCACCAAAAAAAAAAAAGGCCCTTGTAAGGAGGACTGTCAAAGAAGTCTTTTGGTGTTTATCTTGTGATATTTGACTCAAGTAATGTTGATACTGTGGAAAGTTAGTGTTAGAAGTGAATTTTTAAAATGTAAATTTATTTTTGGAATAAATAAATTATTTACGTGGCTCAAAATTCAACAGATACGAAAAGGTGTATGCTTACAAGCAAACACCGTGACACCAGCTTCTTGTCCCAAGTGGAGGACCTGTTACCATGGCCCCTGGAACCATGGGAAGTTTCAAACCTGCCATGAGGCAGGACAAACACCTTCCCGGGTCCTGCGCGCAGTGCCTCTGGCACACAGCAGTGCCTGTGTCCCCTACCGAGACTTCCTGGGGACAGACTTCCAGGGTGGGGCTTGTGGCTTCTCCAGCGGGCTGCATGAGTGGGTCCCCTCCCACTCCATGGTCCCCATGTGGGTGCCAGGTGTCTGTGATGGTTGTGCAGTGTTTTTGCCTTTGTTCACACTTGCATCTCAGTGCCCTAAAATGCCCCTGTGCCAGTGCCAGATGTGCCCCCTCCCTGGAACCCTGGAGGTGAACATTTTAACCGCGCCAGGCCTAGAACCTGCCCCTGCAGGTCTGGGTGATTCAGAGGTGAACACGAACGCCACACTTGCACACGGTGCAGTGGATCAAATCTGGGGCTTGTGCACACTAGGCAGGTGTTCTGCCACTGACCGGCCTCCACAGGACCTCTGATCAGATCTGTATGGATTTTCAATTGCTTTCTCCAGCTTTTTGTTCTGAGACAAGGTCTTGCTATATAGTAGTTCAGGCTGCCCTTGAACTCATGGCGATCCTCCTGCCTCAGCCTCCCAAGTGCTAGGATGACAGGCCTGTGCTACCATGCCTGGCCCCATCAATTTTGAGTTCAGAAAGCTCCTGCCATCAGTAAGTCAGAGATGGCATGCCCCCAGTTTTAAATTTCTTGAATCCATTTCTATTCCTTTGCCCCCAGAAGCAAGCAGTGATGGCAGTAGCTGTGAAGTTGCCGCTCTGTCCACTGTGCTCCCTGCTGTCCGGTGAGACTCCTGTGGACCTCACCTGCGCAGTGTGGCCCTCGCCCACCTGGGGCTCCTGTCACTGGTCCTGCAGTGCTCACCTCCTGTGGTGTCACCCAGCAGCACAGGCCTGCAGTTCTTCGAAGCTGAGCTTCAGGTCCTGCGCCACCTGTGTCCCCAGGCAAGTGACACCACTTTTGAGTTGGGCTCAGCCCAGGGAGGTGCATGCAGCTTCGAGGCGCTGGCCACACATTCGCCTGGTCTGGGGCCCTCCTGCCTCTGCTGCACAGGAGAGCATCCAGGTGTGGACGCGGAGCACAGCAAGCTACGCCTTCAAGCCCTGGCCGAAGACAGTGTCTTGGTGCCGTGTGCTTACTCTGTTCCGGAGTGTCAACGAGTCCCATTTTAATCAGGTTTGCTCTCTTTCGTTTTCAGTACTGAGGATTAAACCCACGGCCTTTGTACTGAACAATATCCCCAGCCCTTTTTTAAACTGTGAGTTTAGGAAGCTCTTGCCATCAATGACTCAGAGATTGTCTCTTCCTCTAACTTTAAATTTCTTTAACCTGTCTGATACTGCTGTGCCCAAGCTGGGGTAAGACGTGTGATCTTGCCTCAGCCTCCCAGAGCGCTAGGATTGCAGGTGTGCACACCATGCCTGGCCCCTCAGGCTTCACGTCCTGTCGGCCTCACCGTCTCTTGACAAGGTCTGACGTTCCTCACTCAGGTCGCTGTGCAGGGCCTTGGATGTGACGCTTCAAACGCTGGTTCCCATAATGCACTTCCGGTATAGGTTTTGCTCACTGTACCTGCAGAGCTGCTCTTGGCTGTGGGGAGACAGCCTGTGCCCGCCGAGGGGTGCAGCACTGGTCAGGTCAAGGTCCCCAACTGGGCCCTCAGAGGGGGCTTCCTCCCAGCTCCGGGCCAGACTCACCCAGGTCTGGGAAAAGTCAAGTTTATTGCACATCTCAAAGCACAACTGAAGAAAACTGCACACTGCACTTAAGGTAAAAGGAGTTTAAAGAATCCACAGACTTGGCTTAATTGCACTAACGTCCCCGGGGCTGGGAGGGCAGAGCGCTGATGACTCCTGGGAGGGCTCTGTGGAGGTGCAGGGTGGCCTGAGCTGGCCGCCGCCTCTCACCCTCCCCTGCGTGGCTGGTGGCCCTGTCAGAGGCTGTGTGTTGCCACTGCCCGTGGCTGGGGCTCTGATGGCTCACCCAGCAGAAGCATCGAGTGTCGCCAGGCAGAGGTGGCTAAAAAAAGCAGCCTTGGCAGCCAGGACTGGCCCAGCCCCAGGCTGGGGCTTGAGTGCCAGAGGGCAGTGCCAGGGTGCGGACCCAAGGCCCCGAGGGCGGCAGGCTAGACAGGCGCAGGACAGAGCATGGGGAGAGACCAGAGGCCTCCTAACTTCCAGAAGATGTGTTTCTCTGTAAGATTCGATTTCAGATGAGGTATCTCACGTGGGTTTGTAATAAAACAAACACAAAGGCTATAGTCAGCAGTCCCGCTCGGAGGATGTCTGGCTTCATGAGGGCCACAGCGCACCAGTTCAGCCTCACTCCCACGGTGTTTCACAGCTCGTTGCCAGCCCGGCAGGGGTGTGTGACTCCTGTCCCTGGCACCCATAGCCCTGGTGGTGGGGCGGCAGGTGACAGAGGCATGTGGCACTGTGTTGTTGTACACAGCCCAGTGCCACAAATGTGGATGACCTGGTCCTGCCTGGCCCAGTGTGGAGTGTGCCAAGGTGCTGCATCTCAGGGAGGGACAGGGACCTGTGACGATGTCGGGAGTGCCGACCTGCACCCCCATCACCTGGCACTGCTGTCACAGTGTCCCTGCCCACAGCCCTAGATCCTCCTACCTTGGAGGCTCCCTCGTCTCCCACACTCGGGCTCAGGTGTGACCAGAGCCTGACTGCACGGGAGGGGCTATGCATGCAACCGGGCAGCAGCCCTGTCCCCACTTGGAGGCGACCTCGAAAGAGGCCACAGGTGCTGCCGCTGCAGTGACAGCTCTGGACACCCAGCTGAGGCCATGGGTTCTCGAACAGGACAGAGACAAGGTGGGTGACAAGAGTGGGTGCTGGTGCGGCCGGGTGTGGACAGGTGTCACCAGGCCAGCTCCCACGTGCCGTGGGGCCCAGCACTGGGGCCTCTCCTGGCCGGGTGCGGCCCTCAGATGACCTCCCACTCGTCCTCCAGGTCCTCAGGGTGAGGGGTGGCCGCCTGGCTGCTCCTCAGGGTGCCATGTGCGTGGCTGAATGTCCTCGTGAGCCGCTGGAGGAGGCGGCCGGGGGGGCCCACTGCCCACAGCTCGTCTGACGAGGTCACTGCAGGGACGACAGCCAGGCACAGCGCATGAACCAGACAGCTGGGGCAGGGCAGGTGCAAGGGTCTAGCTCCAGATTTGCATGTGGCCACACCCAGCCCTGGCCTTTCCCTACAACCTCCAAGCAGTGCACGCACCCCAACCCAGCCTAGAGCTTGCAGGGTCCCCCCACAGGTGGCCTTGCCTGGGCTCTGGCTCTGAGGCACAGGGCCATGTGGGGGCTGCTTTTGCACGAGCCCTGCTGAACTGGCCCAGGGTGCCCAGGGGATACACAGCCCGCCACACCCCAGCACCTGCCTGTGAAACACAACGCGTTTCCAGGGGTTTTCTTCCAGTAGTCGCCAGCAGGGTTTTTGTCTGTGACACCGTAGCGGCGGGCAAGGTCGCCATTGGGACAGCGGGCCCACACGGTCCTGGTACTCAGTGCCAGCTGGCAGGCCTGCAACCCTGTGGGCAGACGGCACCACTCAGCACCCAGCCCCCCCTGGAGTGCTGGGGTCACCAGGCTCATCCACAGCATAGCCTGTGGGACAGGGTGTCCTGTGCTGTGCGGCACTGGGGACCCATGCTCTGTTGGCAGGCGAGCCACACTGTGACAGCCACAGGCAGACACAGGTGCTAGGTGGCGTGCAACCATAATCCTGTAAAGCACGGGAGACCAGCTGCCTCAGTGAAACGGCACAAAGGAGACAAAGCCCGAGCAGGAAACAGTGGCAGTGGGGACAGGCTACCCGGCAGTCAACGGGGTCCTGGGGCTGCTGATCCAAACAGCTCCTCATGACTGGTGCCCCGCACAGGGGCTGCAGCCACCAACATGCTGCTGACATCATGGCAGTGTGAGGGACAGCGGGGTCAGCCAGGGCATCCCTACCTGGCACGTGTTCCCAGTCAGTGCCCACAGGCATCTCCTCGGTGATCCCGGTGCGGACATGCACATTCCACCTGCTGTCAAGTGCCCACAGCATCTGGTCGTTGGGACTGGCGTGGACGCTGACCAGGGTGACTCCGGTGGGCTGCAAGCAGGAAGGGGCTTTCCTCAGGGAGGGGGGGCGTGTCCAGGGCACCCAGGGGTGTCCATGGGGGGCAGGGTGGGCAGCTGGCCTCACAGGGTAATCTGTGCTGCCCCTGGCTCCCACCCGACACCTGATCACTGCGGCGGGAGGCAGAGGCAGGCAGAGCGCCTAGGTTATGGAGAAGACGTGCAAGGTGGGGCCCGAGCTACAGGGGACAGGAGTGGGCAGGGGAGGCACTGCCACCTGCCTGTGCACACTGCCCCCAATCCCAGGGGCTGTGACACCCCAGGGGACTCCTGTCTGCGCTGGGGCAGGCGACAGCCCGCTGCTGGCCCTGCCCTGCTCTGCAGTGGCCCTTCCACTTCTCACAGCTCCATCTGTCCTGTGGCCACCGGTCCTTGGCCGGATGAAGCCTCTGTACTCCAAGGGAGGCCGCCTGGGTCCCAGCCCTGGTTTCCAGCAGTGCTGGCAGCGACCGAAGCCCACTGTCTGCCTGACGCTTTCTCTCCTGGACTCAGATTCAGGGTCCGGCCCACAAGCCCCCCAGGCCACCCCATGCCGCTGTCACACCTGCTAGCCCCGACTCTCAGGCCCCAGGGCTAGAGAGCGGGTGAGTGTCCCCAGCTGGCCTCTGCCCCGTGCTGACCCAGAGACCCGAGGAAGCAGCGACACTGTCCCACTGCGTTTGAGGCAGCGGGAGGACTACAGAGAAGAGGAGGTGACACGGGAAGGGAGGCAATGGAGGAAGAGCCAGGGAGCCATGCGCTGCAGTGCCAGCCGGGTCCTCCTCTGTCCGCTGAAATGGCTCGGACACAGGAGATGCCATCTCCTTGCACTCCACCTCCCCACCCTCACTGGCCCCTGCCGGGTGCGGGGCCTGGCTCTGGCTGTGGTGGGACAGTCCCAGTGGCGCCCAGCGCCCACCTCTGTCCTGGCTCTCAGCCCGGCCCTGCCTGTGCTCCTCGCCAGCTCTGCCCACCCTCCCAGAACCATCTGGCCAGGGCCCTGTCACCCTCAAGCTCTATCCACTGGGCCCCCTGGGGCTTGGGACGCTGGGAAGAGGTGGGGCCACTGTGCCCAGGAAGTGTCAGTCTGGCCTGCACTGCTCTCGCCCAGCGGAAGGAGCACTTTCTACAGAGGAGGCCTCGTCTGCAGCCCCGAACACGGTCTTGCATGTGCAGCTTGCCGGGCTTTGGGGTCTGGGGCACCGTGAGGGGGACACTGAGAGGCAGGCAGCTCAGCCCCTGCCCCACTGCCCCGTCTGTCACAGGGGCGGCACATGTGGCGGGGGCAGCCTTGCCCAGGGCTGTTTCAAGGCTAGCGGGTGCTTGGCCTCCCAGTCAGCATACAGCACAGAGGGCACCAATCAGGCCGGAAGAGGAAGGGCATGCGTGCCCTTCCACACTTACTGGGTTCCAGCATTCCCAGACCGGGTTCCGTGGAACACCATGCCACCCCCATGCCCACTGCCGGGGCTCCTGTGGCCCAAGCTTGAGTGGCATCATCTCCTGGACACCTCTGCCCAGGGTCACTCACTCAACAAACACGAGGCACCTTCTGTCCCAGGCACTGGGGGCACCCGGATGCACACCAAACCCCTGCTTCCCCTGGGGAGCTATGGTCTGCTGGCAGGGAGAGGTGTGGCCAGGCAGACCCAGCCTGGGCAGGTCTGGAGTGGTGGGCGCCCAGGCAGAGGCCACAACAATCCCAGCTGGGCTGGTGCAACTCAGGGATGGGCACTGCAGGGCAGAGGGCCCCAGGGGCCAGGCTGAGGAGGCCACCACCGAAAAGCATTTTTAAAGATTTTAAGTAATTTTTAAATTTCTTTGGTGGTACTAAGGATTGAACCCAGGGAGCACTGAGCTACATCCCCAGACCTATCTTGAGACGTGCTCTTGCTAAGTTGCCTAGGCTGGCCTCAAACTTGAGATCCTCCTCCCTCAGCCTCCGGAGTAGGCAGTATTATAGGTGTGCTTCCATGCCTGCCTCAGATTTGCTTTTTTGTCCACTGATGCCGCTTATTTTTCAGGGAACACCAAAGTTAGGGCATCTACGTTGCTAGGCCTTTGTCTGAAGGCTCCTTCTGGTCTGTCCCTGAAGGCTGGGGCTGAACAGAGAAGCCCTAGACCAGTGGGAGGCTTCCAGCGGAGCAGGCACCAGTGACACACAGCAAGTGACTCCCGACGCCAGGTGATGACCGGGGACATCAGGGAGGGGACCCCAGAGCAGAACGGTCAGCACCCAGGGCCTGGAAGAGTGCCAGGTGGGGCTTCCCCTTGGGGTTGTGACAGGCCCGAGTACAGGGTACTTAGCATCACTATTACTTTTCACAAGTGCATGTGACTCTATAATTATAAGATTTCTAATTAAAGCAGCTAAAATTTTGGCTTATTCAAATTTAAAACTTCATAAAGGAATGAAGGATAGAACCTATCAAATGAGTAAAGTCGTTAAGGTTCAAGAATAATCTTGAAGCGTGAAAGATGTGGACAGCCCTGGTGATCTGGGCAGGAGTGGGTGGATGGACCGACAGACCCAGCTGGCTTCTAAGTGTCCTTTAAAGACAGATTGTGGAGGGCCGGGATTTAGCTCAGTGGCACCACACCTGCCTGGCTAAAGCGCAAGGTCATGAGTTCGAGCCCTGGTACCGAAAAAAAAAAAAAGTACAGATCTTGGAGTGGGTGGGCAGGAGCCAGGTGCCCTCTGGGAGCCCATGACTCGATGGCAGTGATGATCAAAGGTCCCGTGGGGAGAGACCATGCTGCCACGAGCTCACTGTCGGGGCTCACCTAAACCTCTGTAAGGAAGGAAGGCTGCAACTTGTCAAATGGCATAAATAAAGCTGTTAAGGTTCAAGAATAATTTGAGCGGCTTACTGAGACACCATCTCAAAAGGTAGAAGGGGCTGGGGTTGTAGCTCAGTGTGAAGGTCCTAGGTTCGACCCCTGCACTGAGGGAGAGAGGCAGAGACAGACAGAGATGGTGGCAGAGGGGCAGACGGACCAACCGCAGAGCTCTGTGGACTGCCTTTTCTCTCCCCTCCACTGTTGTCTCCTTTCTCCTTCTCTGCTTTACTCTTTGATCCACTTAAAGTGTATGAATCCTGACTATCAACTTAACTGGTGTGGGAGAGGCCCAGGAAGTCAATGGCCCACACTTCGGGCGTGTCTGGGTTGGTCTTGTCCCTGGCTCTTTCTGCTGTCTGCTTCCTGGCCTGCATGGCATGAGCAGCCGCCCCACCAGCCCTTCTGCCAGGCCTCCGCTGGGAGTGGCCCATGTGGATGGAGCTGCAAGGTAAAATAAACCCTCTTTCTTTAGGCTGTGTATGAAGTGTTTTGTTCCAGCACCAGAAGCTAATACCGCACCGATGGTGGATGTGCCCTCTTTCATTTGGCCTTTTCTGTTCTGTTTCCTCCTAGCAGACCTTCTTCCCAAATCTTAACTATTCCTCCTAACTTCAGATGAACTGGAAACCAGACACCAACACCAACAGACTCACATTCAAAGCCCGCTGACGTCTCCTGCACAGCCGTGCACCTGGTCTGAAGGTGACTGCAGAATCCAGCAGGGAAAACCCTGGCTACCTGCGGGAGCTGAGCTGAAAAGGCCGCTCGGGATGCTCCATCCATGCTCGGCAGGGGCTGCCAGAGCCCACAGCCTTTCTCTGGCTGCCCTGCAGAGCCACCACCAGTGCCTGTGGGTGACTGCTGTGACATGCGTGTGATGATGCACCTGTGTTTGCCACAGCTCACCACATGGCAGCTCCCACGTCGTCCCCAGTGGAGCCCCCTCGTGGCCCTTTCTGAGTGCACAGCCCTGCAGGGAGCGGTCCTGGCGAGGGGCTTTGGGCTGTGGACAGGGACAGCAGGGCCAGCCCTCCTCCTCTCCAGGTTTGTGGGGGTTTTCTTTCTGCGGGAGCCTGGGATGAACCCAGGGCCTTGTGCCTGACAGGCGAGTGTTCAACCATGGAGCTGTGTGTCAGCCTTTGTGGCTCGCTATTGTCGCCAAGGGATTGTGGCATCGAGAAGGCATCTGCTGTGAAAAAGACTGAAGAGAGTCAAAAACCAGGCGGCCATGGAGGCCATGCAGGAAGAGAAAGCTCAGAAATGTCCGCGAGGAGGCAGGAGAGATGTGAAGCCGTGAAACAATGGTGGACTTTTAGAAACGGACTATGGGGAAGTCTGAGGAGTACAGGGAGAATGTCTTCTAGAAGGAAGGATAAAAGCACAGAGGGAAAATGGGGAAGGGGCTGGGGATTTAGCTCAGTGGCACTGTGCCTGCCTCACAGCCCAAGGTTGTGAATTCGATCCCTGGTACCAAAAAAGAAAATGAGGAAGAGGGGCTGGGGATTTAGCTCAGTGGTTCCACCGCCTGCCTTGCAAGTGCAAGGACCTAGGTTCAATCCCTGGTACCACAAAAAAAAAAAAAGAAGAAGAAGAAGAAAATGGGGAAGAGAAGCAAAGTGGAGGCCTGGTTAGGAAGAACATACTGCAGAAGGAAGCATCCCAGCAAGAGCGAGAGAGCCAAGAGCCAGCAGAATGAGATGGGGCCCAGCAGAGAGACCAGACACCTCAACAGGACACAGGGCAGGTGACAGGGTGGGTCCCCGGGAAGAGCTCAGACAGCGCAAGTACCAAGGGTCTGGCGTCAGGATAGCCCAGGCTTCTTGGCAGCAATCTTGGTGGCCTGGAGACAATGGTGGAAGAACTTCAGAACTCGTAGCGGAAAATGAACTCAACTCAACTGCTCCTCCAAGCCAAGGCCAAGGGAGGGAAGACACAGGGGAAAGACTTTTCAGACGTGTAACACCTCCAGAACATGACCTCCCATGAACAAAGTGCAGGACAAACTCCTCCAAACCAACAGGAGCAGAGGAAGCCAGCAGCAGGAAAGGGGACCCGGCCACAAAGGGAGGGCACAGCAGAGAGACACCGAGAGGCCACCTCAGGCTGGTGGCTGGGCTGAGTGTGTGAAGCTGCTGAGAGCCAGCGGAGACAGCA